TCTTCTTGTTCTTCTTGATCTTCTTATTCTTACTATTCTTGTTCTTCATACTATTCATATTCTTCTAGTTCTTCTCCCCTTTTCATGCTCTTCTTGTTCCTTATATTCTTCTTGTTCTTCCTTTACTTCTTGTTCTTCTTATTCTTACTCTTCTTGTTCTTCATACTATTCATATTCTTCTAGTTCTTCTTACTTTTCATGCTCTACTTGTTCTTTATATACTTCTCTTTCTTAATATTCTTGTTCTTCTTAATATTCATGTTCTTCTTGTTTTCCTTACTATACTTGTTCTTCTTGCTTTTCATTTTCTTCTGATTTTGTTTGCATTTATGCTTTACTTGCTTTTTTTTATTCTTCTTTTGTCCATCCCTTTTCTCAGTCTCGAAAACATCTGCCCCCGTTACCGAACCTGCCCAACCTGGTCAATTCCGTCGTTAGGTCCGGTCGAGTTGACAACTGCTCCGCCACGGCCAGCCTCCCTGTTCGAGCGACCTGCAGGCAGAAGAGAACAAAGCCGAGGCAGAGCGGTCTCGGAGGCTCCGAGGCAGGCACACTTGCAGACATTCCGCAGCAGTTGCTAGTCTCCCGTGAGGACACAAGAAGAGAGTTGCTTTTTTCTTAATGCACTCGGAGCAGAAAGTTAATTCCCGGTCTTGATGACAAGTTTTCGACAAAGTTATTCAGGTCAAGCCCTTTCGTTTCGAGGAGTAAACAGACCGCCGAGATCATTTGCTCCGCCCCTCCCTCACTCCAAAGTACGCATCCACATACACACATATGCATACACACACCAACAACAGGACTGACAAACCGACAAACCAACGGCCACCAAGGCACTCGGTCGCCCAGTCGACCGGCGTTTCAGAAGCTCTAAGCAACCGACGACTCAGTAACCCGGTCGTCCAGTCGCCCAACCACTTGACCGCCCACACGGACGCGCCATTTTCGGTTGTTTTGGTTAATTCGATAGGCTCGATTAAAACTCCCACGGACAGGTTGGTAGTGGACGCTTTTCTGTTCCCCCTCTGCGGTGCCTCGGCGACCACCTCCCCGTGTCGCTATGCCGCCGAGTGGGCGTCAGGCTGCGGGGCTCGGGCTCAGGTCGGGCAACTGGGCACGTCGAGTTGGGGGCATAAAAGTTGCCAAGTCAAAGTGACCGTTGACCACCGCAAGAGATAATTACACCCAGTTCCCTTGACGAGAGTCCCGTGGAGGAGTAGCGTTTTATGTCCAGCGCCTGACAGGGGGGTGGGGGCAACTAACAACCTATTCGCACCGCCTTCGTCCGACCCCTCAACCACCTGAGATTGGCCGGCGCCGTCTCTCTCAGACAACATCTGGAGGCCGGGCAAGATGACAAAGCACACAACACCGGTCCAAAATGATGCGCATCTGTTGTCGCGACCACAAACTCAGCTTCTCTACCGCGCCTCGGTTCGAGTCCCTCCTCACGTCTGCTCGTCTGCTCGCCAGTACCGTCGTCTCTCCCCTTCGCTTCGGCTAATCCACCCACAGCGACGGCGCTTAATTCGACTCTAGGCATATCCACATACACGCAAACCCACCCACACACACACACACACACACA